CATTGAAGAGAAAGTATAGCGAGGAAGTAGCAGAGGAAAGAGCTTCTGAAATCTGCTCTTTGTGGGTTGAATATCTGAAAGATCCAGATTGGCATCCTTTCAAATGCATTAAAGTTGAAGGAGAAGAAGAAGAACACCAGGTTTGTTCTTCAAAGTTCCCTTGTATCTACAACTAATTTTTCTAATTTGAGTTTGTTTCCACAATAAACTTTGTGCACTTGCATCGACATTATGTGCATGTTTTAGTTGTAGATATTTTGTTTGCAAGTGTGGATATAATTTTCTGCCAACATCAAGAGATTCATAAGTTAGAAATTCTACATGCTTTTCCTCTCTTTCCATTGCAGTGAAAACTCATCCGACTTTGTTATGATGGCCACCTTCTTTTATCTCCTGAGCTCTTTGAATTTTGAATTTTGTGATCTCCTGTGCACATATTCTTGCTCATTAATAATTTATAACTAGTTTTCCTCCGGAGTTTTTGGTTAGTTTATTAGAAAAAAGTATGCAAGTGTGACCCACAAAGTCATTCATATGTCATTTATCAATCACATACCTCAAGCTTGTCATATCTGTCCTACACTCAATGTTTTTGCATGTTCATCCCATCGCAATGATTATTCTTTTTGCTGGTAGCTGGCACACGGTATTGTTCTGTTGCATGGCTTTTTAAGTTGATGGAGTTTGTGGATGATATTGGTAATCGCTTCACAAAAATTTAAGAGACCATAATAATTTCACTGAACAGTGAATACTCAGTTCCTTGGCTATTTCAAAGGCTTGAGGCCTTTTAGTTAATTATATCTTCAAATTTTGTAATGCTTTTCTTTTGAAGAAAGTTCTTGTCTACTCCTTGTTACTTGCTTCAGTTTTAACTTGGAACCGTTTGCTGTAATTGTGGTTCAGGAAGTGATAGATGATGAAGATGAAAAGCTACAAGATCTGAAACATGAAATGGGTGTAGATGTCTACCTGGCAGTCATAGCAGCTCTAAAGGAGATAAATGAATACAACCCAAGTGGAAGGTATATAATCTCAGAACTATGGAATTATGCAGATGGAAGGAAGGCAACACTAAAAGACGGAGTTGTACATCTACTGACGATGTGGGACACAAGCAAACGCAGGAGGGGAATGCTTTGAAGGTTAGTCTGATTTATTTTTAAGATATCAAACTGGTGACGCAGCATCATTTTTCATGGTTGAGACTGTGTTTCTGGTTTCAGCCTTGACATGAATTTTCTCGTGTGGAAATATTTGACTGTAGTTGTAGTAAATAATGTACTAGTTAATTTCTTAGAAGCAGAAATGGAAACCAGATGCCATGTTTGTTTTATTAATTGAAGCATGTATTGAATCTTTGAAACTTGATTTTTTGTTTCCAGGATCTTGGCTTCCCACAGAGACAACATGATCAAAGTGAATGGCATCCTCCATATTTGTATGTAAGCATTTAAGCTGCTGTGTTATCAGTAGGAAATAATATTTGATGTGATCTTAAGTTTTCAGGCTCTTCTAGTCCCTTCTGTTATGTCAGATGAAGACCCCTTTAACTAGAATTCCAAGGCATGCATTGCTGTAGACTTATGGTTGCATTTTTACCCTGTCTTTTAGAAGAGTCTGCTTCATGTAGGCAATGACGCCATTGTAATAATGATGAACTCCTAGCTAGCTGTGTGGCTCCTGTATGACTATAAACGCCATTGTGACAATAATATCTATTAACTTTTTTCATTTTTTCTAGATTAAGTTTATAAATATAAATAAACATTCAATCATAATTATTATATGCTGGTTTTACTATGAAAATCCTTAAATTGCTGCCCTCCATAAGGAAAGAAGACAAGAAATCAACTGAGAACGGGAAATGCAAGAAATCATTGCCGAAGATGATGAAAAACTGAAAGAGTGAGAAATGATTATGGTGAGGTTGTGTACAATGCTGTCACCAATGCACTGCTGGAATTGAATCAATACAATCCAAGTGGGTGCTGGGTGGTTTGTGGTCTCTAAGGTAAGGCACTCAAAAGAAGGAAGGGGTGCAACTCTGAAGGAAATCATTCAATGCTTAATCAAGCAAGTCAAGACTCACAAACATAAAAGATGGCCAATCTAGTGTTGCACTAGATGTTTCAAGGTAAACGTATTGTCATTCAATGTTGCAATATTTTCAATCTCAATGGTTTAAACCGGAACATTTGTGCCTTTTTGAGATGCAATTCCTTTTACTGAAACAGCTATTTCATTCATGAAAAGTAAATATTCCATTTACTTTCTTGGACTGTGCTGCTGCTATCACTGACTATATACCGATAAACTTTTGTGGCATGTGTATCAAACAGAGTTCATTTCATTCCTCTTGAGTCAACCAAACTTCTATTAGCTTGTTGGAGTTGCTCTTACCCACCAGCATAAAGCAGTAGAGATTCTCTTGTGCAGTTTTTGTTGGATAAAATGATTCTCCTGTCTTTCTAATGTAGAAGATGCCTTCTTAAGCAGAAAGCTTTATCCATGAAAATGCAAAGCTGTGATAGGTAGAAACTAGAAAGCATATACTCTGTTTTCAATGGTAGGATAAAAATCAGGGTTGAAAGGCATCTAATTAAATTTGACTCGTTTTGGATCCGTTGCATGAATTGCTGTTGAAGGTTTTGGGAATTTGCAATGGATGATATTCTCCCTCATCTTCAATTTCAATTTTATGCCTGCGCATGTCCTCTTTTATGGCTGAAAATGAATTTGAGGCTGAAATGAGGAAAAAGAACATTACTTAACATTAAATAAGTGCATACTAAATAGTACACACTTAAAAAGATGCTGATCAAACCTAAAAGAGAAAGAAAAAAATTATAACATTTCTTCTTTTATTTTTTCTCATCCATTTATGTTTTTTAAATAAAAAAAAAATTCTCTTCCTTCGTCTCAAATTCAAACCTATTTTGCTTAGATACCTTTGGGCACCATGCTCTTCAGTAGAAATTTAAATTTCAAACACACCA